GTACAAGTATACAGGTCTCCGAGTACGAGTACTTGCACTTCCGAGTAAGTACTTGTATTTCCTATTACGGCCATACGGCAAAATTGTGCGTAATTGGTACAGGCCCTGTCAGACCGATGTACTATGTACAGAACCACTCACGGCTAGCTGTTAAATGTGTTTGTCCGGACGTGCATGCACAGAAGAATATCAGGAAACTTCGATTTCTCCACAAGCCAATCAACCATTTCAAACTGAAAGTATCGATTAAATAAGGCCGTGGAAAATCAAGCCATACCACCCCCCTCGAGTACTGCTATTCGAGTACGGGTACTCAGTGCTGCCCGAGTATGAGTACTGTCATTTCGAGTACGAGTACTTTGACCTTCGAGTACGAGTACGAATACTCAACAAAAACAAGTACTCGAGTAGTACAAGTACCAGTACCGAGTTAGTACTTCAACACTGAGTAGCTCTCCACAAACAAAAAATTCAGCTCTCCTATGAACCTTTTCAAGAAATGATATTTGGTCCACTCTGTATGGATTCCAAGCAGCAATGATGCATTCCAGGTGGTCGCTCAAGAAAGTGTGACGGGCTTTCGACCAATGGGCAAACTGTAACGAAGTATGGCCACATATAATAAACTTGAAAATTATGATTCGCAAACTTGATCATACTGAAGAGTTATTTCTTCTTTGAAATTAATTTCACTTCAGTTTTTGACAGTGGCATTGTGGTCTGTACGGTTTCCCAGCGCCGACATAATTGTCTAGAGGTTTAAAGTAGACCAATAGGAACGACGTTGATGATGATGATGAAGTTTGTCGAATACATGCACTTCGATTTGACTGAAGCTTTCCAAATCGATAGATGAGTTCAATTTCAAAACTGAACGTGTACGAGCATCCGAGGCAAACGTACAGCCCAAACGTCCCGTCTGTTAGGTAAAATGTTCGCCTTTTCAACCAAATCTGTATGCGTATGAGCAGTATTCAATTAAAGGCAATAAACGACGTAGTGATGGCGGCCTGCTGCGTTCATATTTCTTTGTATCTTTGTATAAAGCTGTCACAGAGCAAGTCGTTGTTCCCAGTGTGATGCACATATACCCCAAGAGTACATAAGTTATTGTGTTTTCATGGTCACTGAATTGAAATCACAAAACAGTCCTCAGTGAGCTGAGCCCAATGGCTGAAGTTCACCGGTTGTATAGGCCTTTTCCTTCCACGGCAACTGGACGATGGACACCATTCTCTTTAGTGTTTCATAGCATTCCTTATTTCGGAGACAGAAGATGATGCTGTCCAACCAATTGGCAGAGAAAAATAGAACATAGGTTACAGCCAGAGCAATCGCCAGACCTAAGCCGTGATCTGCAATGAAAAGCGAGAGAAGGACCACTACCAGATAAGGCGCCCAGCTGGCCATGATGACAGTAAAACTGTCCGGAGACAAAATGTAAAAAAACCTTCTTTTCGGTCCCCTGGAGATATGTGGAGACAAGGTAAATGCGCGCAACGTTATAGCCATTTTGGATCGTTATATCCTCATGATTATTCAGTCATTGGTATGCTTTAGAAAATTTTTATTGAAGTAAGGATGTAGAATCACTGAAATTAAAATTTAAAAACAGCTTACTTTAATTATAAATTTACATGCAGCTATACCTAAATTGAACATGCTCTAGCCAGGGTAGTCTCGCGTACGATCGTGAGACAGTACTTGGTTGGTTCTTCTCCTATAAGGACTTCAACAAGGGAGTTTAACTAGGAGGCCAGAAACACCGGGGAAAACCCCTTCTCTTAGCGATAAGTGTTACTGGGTTCTTTTACGTGCGTTAGGCCCTATACAACACACGGGACCTCCGGGCCCCGGCTTAACGTCCCATCCGAAGGACGAAGCAATAATGGTTAAGTGCCTTGCTCAAGGGCACAAGTGTCCGGGCCCGGGCTCGAACCCACGCCACTGTTGCCTCTGAAACACCAGAGCATGGGTCCGGTGCTCTTAACCGCTTGGCCATGACAGTACCCCCACTGTCAGTCTGTCACATCCCCTGGTCAAGTTCCCCTTCCTGATCCTCTTGGAAATATATATTTATACGATATGGAGCATCAAAAGTGGACAATCCAATTTCCCCATTTTCTGCCAGCAAAATCTTAGATTTTTAGAAGTCCTGACACCCGTTTTTGAAAAACTCAATTATCTGCCAGCAGGAATTTGGATTTTACTCTATCGGCACCCCAAAAGTAGACAACAAAAACATTGAAATTTGCATAAGCAGAATGGGTTGAACGTATTGCAGAAACCTGAAATGAACATGGACAAATTATACAGGGTGACCCCTAAAAACTGCAACCCTAAAACATTTGCCTTTAAAAACCAAGGGATCGGTGGATTTTTATGTTTTGGGTATCAGATTAAGGCTGATAGCTTTTTCTATCAAATACTGACAAAATCATGCAAATGGCACTTTTGGTTGCTGAGAAAGAGCCAATTGTGTAAAAGTAGTCATTTTCATCCTGTACACAAGTACTTCAAACAGTGAAACATTTTACTGTAAGCCTACTGTGCAATTATCCTTCATTTGTGCCATTTCTTTAATATTTTGACATATTTATGATGCTGAAAAGGTTTGACCGTAGGACTAAAAAGGATGAGATAAAAGTTCAGGTAGAAAATAAAAGGCATTTCCATAAAATTCATATGTCACGGTACGCTTGTGATATTATGTGCCATGTTGTTTGTAAGGATTAAAATAGGACATGCACAAATAGGTACAGTGAAAATCCCTTACTGTTTTACATAATTGGCATTTTCTCGGCAACCCAAAGTGCGTGCTGTTTTCATGATTTTTGTCAGTATTTGAAAGAAAAATCTCTCAGCTTTAATCTGATACCCAAAACATAAAAATCCACCGATCCTTTTTTTTTAAAGGCAAATGTTTTAGGGTTGCATTTTTGGGGTCACCATGTATAAACCAGAACTTCTCCAATTTTCTACAAGCAGAAGCTGGTCGCACATTTACGCGAAAGTGGTTTCTTTTTTAGACAAGACATAGGCTAGTCCTTCCGATGACAGTTCTATTTGTTTTACGCAATTTCGCTAAAAAGTCAGTGGCTATAAAAAAAATATTTCATATATCTGTTCAACGTGTTCAATCTGTTCAACGGTCCCCCTGTGTTCATCGACACAGGAGGACCGCGCATGCATGGTTCCGGTCTGTTCAGCCACTATACGCAACCGATGCGTCAATGGACAAGTTATTTGGTCTGAAAAAAGTGCGTTCAACTAATTTATTTTGTCAAGTGGAGAATTTGGCTTTTTCCTTTTTTCCAATTTTGGTCAACGACCAACTATCCACCCACCCCACTACACTATAGCAGGGCGTGCCCTATCGAGATTGGTAGCCAATTATTGATACATGATTACTTTATCACAAAATAATGTTGGTTGTGGGTCGTTGCTGGAGATGTAGCTTCGCTAACCTGGTCCATTATCAGCGCTGATCGTGATGTGGGTTAGCCTGGTTGCATTTTTTTCTTCTGCTCTTGTGTTGTAAAGTCATTTTCCGAGTACCTAGTACTGCCGAGTACTTAGGCTGCCGAGTACGAGTACTTGTACCTCCGAGTACAAGTACAGGTCTCCGAGTACGACTACTTGTATACTTTCGAGTACGAGTACTTGTATTTCCTAAATACGGCCATACGGCAAAATTGTGCGTACTTGGCACATGCCCTGTCAGACCGATGTACTATGTACAGAACCACTCACGGCTAGCTGTTAAATGTGTTTGTCCGGACGTGCATGCACAGAAGAGAATCAGGAAACTTCGATTTCTCCACAAGCCAATCAACCATTTCAAACTGAAAGTATCGATTAAATAAGGCCGTGGAAAATCAAGCCATACCCCCCCCCCCCCGAGTACTGCTATTCGAGTACGAGTACTCAGTGCTGCCCGAGTATGAGTAGGCCTACTGTCATTTCGAGTACGAGTACATGTACTTTGACCTTCGAGTACGAATACGAATACTCAACAAAAACAGTACTCGAGTAGTACAAGTACTAGTACCGAGTTAGTACTTCAACACTGATCGCTCTCCACACACAAAAATGTCAGCTCTCCTTTGAACCTTCTCAAGAAATGATATTTGGTCCACTCTGTATGGATTCCAAGCAGCAATGATGCATTCCAGGTGTGGTCGCTCAAGAAAGTGTGACGGGCTTTCGACCAATGGGCAAACTGTAACGAAGTATGGCCACATATAATAAACTTGAAAATTATGGTTCGCAAACTTGATTTACACTGAAGAGTTATTTCTTCTTTGAAATTAATTTCACTTCAGTTTTTGACAGTGGCATTGTGGTCTGTACGGTTTCTGAGCGTCGACATAATTGTCTAGATGTTTAAAGTAGACCAATAGGAACGACGTTGATGATGATGATGAAGTTTGTCGAATACATGCACTTCGATTTGACTGAAGCTTTCCAAATCGAAAGCGGAGTTCAATTTCAAAACTGAACGTGTACGAGCATCCGAGACAAACGTACAGCCCAAACGTCCCGTCTGTTAGGTAAATGTTCGCCTTTTCAACCAAATCTGTATGCATTATTTACTGTACAAGTTTTGTGAATGACGTTATGAGCAGTGTTCAATTAAAGGCACTAAACGACGTAGTGATGGCGGCCTGCTGCGTTCATACTTCTTTCTCTTGTGTCTAATGCTTGTATCTTGTATATATGTAAAGCTGTCACAGAGCAAGTCTTTGTTCCTAATGTGATGCACATAATTATATACCCCAAGAGTACATAAGTTATTGTGCATTCATGGTCACTGAATTGAAATCACAAAACAGTCCTCAGGGAGCTGAGCCCAATGGCTGAAGTTCACCGGTTGTATAGGCCTTTTCCTTTCACGGCAACTGGACGATGGACACCATCCTCTTCAGTGTTTCATAGCATTCCTTATTTCGGAGACAGAAGATGATGCCGTCCAACCAATTGGCAGAGAAAAATAGAACCTAGGTTACAGCCAGAGCAATCGCCAGACCTAAGCCGTGATCTACGATGAAAAGCGAGAGAAGGACCACTACCAGATAAGGCGCCCAGCTGGCCATGATGACAGCCACTATGATCATAACGGTGGTGAAGGATCTGATGTTAATTCGTTGTGGTGCGTCGTTGCATCCTGCAGGTTGCTTGTATTGGGCGACTCGACGTGTGTGGCGGTTAGCAATGACCAGGATGTGCACGTACATGATCACGATCAGAACAAGCCCAGCCAGGTTGAAGCTTGTTACAAATGCCATCGGCTCCATGACTTTCCCTCCTATGAAAACCAACACGGCCGTGACAGCGGAAACAAGCGTAGATGACACCCAACTGCACGCGACAAGGATCTTGGATCTGTGGGTTGTCATCAAGCTTGGATACTGCAGGCACCAAGCTGCGGAAATGTAGCGATCGACGGTCAGTAGCAACAACGACAGAAGACTTTGGAGGATGAATATTAGGGTCAGGAATACAAAAGGTGCAGCTCGCGAAGTAGGACCGATGGTTGTGTTGACCAAGACCATGTTTGTGACAAACCCCATAATACCCAAACCAATGTCTGAGATGGTTAGAGACGCCATAAAAATCTTGCTGGGTTTGGGGATGTTTGCCGTACGGTAAATGACAGTCAGGCAAAGCGGATTGATGGTCACTGTCAGAGTCGTGCTCACAATTCCTACCACCAAAACAACATTTCCACTTGGCAAGACCAAATTGAAATATTGCAGATCGCTGCCGATGTCCGTGGAATTACCCATTTCTTCGATCTGAGATAGTGTCGTTTTCAACTCACCCATTTTACTGATTTTATGAAGTCTCATCAGCAGAGCGCAAGCATAGCCGTCAAGTCTGTGACGACTGCGTGTACGTGTTGGCCTACTGCAACGAATATATTGTCACCCCGCGCTAGATCAAGCCACTAGTTAGAGCAAGGATCCTGGTCAAAACTCCATACTATTGGATGGATTTTCTTCAACGTGTTAACCGGTTTCATCACTCTCGCATGCGCACCGTGCGCGCGGATGCCATACGAGCAATGAATCATGGCAGAAATCTCACCCACAATGCTTTCAGTTGCGAAATTTGCCACGAACAGTGTTCTTCACAAACGTTTTGAAGGGCTCTGCTACTGACAAAAAAATTTCGAAAATCGGGGATTGTAGGGTAAAATAATGCAATTTTCTTCCCCCCCCCCGAGTTTTATTGATGTCACATAATTAAGCGCCCCCCCCCCCCCCCCAACTGAAAAATCGGCATCCGGTGAAAAACAGCCATACGATTTACCATGATTAGCTGAAGAACCAAAAGTCCCTTCTCTCCGCTTTTTTGTGCGTTTTTTGTACCAAAACTTGTTCGGGAGTCGCTGTTTATTGTAACGTCATGATTGAAAAGCGAATAGCGGTAGTTATTGTCTAATGTTACAGTAGCTATGATATACGTTTCGAACAGCGCCCTTATTGGAATGGAAGATGGTCAGGTGAACAAAAAAACATATGTCTACCTTCAGCACGGATGGCATTTTTAGGCGCCCCTCCATTGCAATTACCTCAAGCCCCCCCCCCCCCACACGCCCCCCTTTGATGAGAACTGGCTACGCCGCTGGTGACGTGACTCAGTGGTGGTGCCGTTGTGGAAGGTAATTCTGTCCCCCCCCCCCCCCGTACCCCCCCCCCCCCCCCCGGGACAAATTTACTGGGTCGATGGTGTCCCGGTAAAATTGTCTGGTGCGCGCCGGGGAACACATACCTAGGTACAGCCGGTAAAGCTAGACCCGGGGGATACATGTACACTGCAAAAACTGCAGTGTTTAATTTACACTGTTGGTATCTATATAGGACCATCTGGTGTTAAATTTTACCGGTGTTGTCCTATATAGATACCAATGGTGTTAAATTAACACCACGGTTTTTGCAGTGTACCTAGTATAAGTATATAGGCCAGCCCAATATGAAAATAATTTCACGGCATTTTTTTGGTAATACTAGATCAATTCTTTGAACCATAACAAACAATAAAGATGTGGGTGGATGCCATTTTGACCCTAAAGAAACCTAAAACCTAATTTGAATAAATCGTTAATACCTGCCGTTTGATATATTTGTTCCCCCTTTGGGTATACATGTATTTTGTATTTTTTTTTTTTTTTTAAATTTTTAAATTTTAATTTCAGTGATTCTACATCCTTACTACAATAACATTTTCTAAAGCATACCAATGACTGAATAATCATGAGGATATAACGATCCAAAATGGCTATAACGTTGCGCGCATTTACCTTGTCTCCACATATCTCCAGGGGACCGAAAAGAAGGTTTTTTTACATTTTGTCTCCGGACAGTTTTACCGGGGGACAGAATTACCGTCCGTGCCCGGTGGCGTATTTTTTCTGCAGCATACATCGTATTTTAACCACACCCGCGCACACTAACATGAATATTTATCCTTCTGGGTGGATGGAAGACACTCAGATTCTCAGAGTGTTTTCGCTTCATTTAAACGTATCCCAACAATGGAGGAAGAAACAATATTTGTTGAAAATGGGCATGGGTCGAACCACAGATCTTGCCCCACAAAAAGAATATCCACTAGGCCACTGTGGCAGCTGGACGAAAGCCGTTTTTTGAAGTGCTTTATATGTACATGCTTGACTGATTTAGGATAGCAATCACCAGTGGTGTGATGTCATTGTTATTTTCTCATGAATAAACATCGACTAGCTGAATAATCATAATCCACTGACGAGGTGCGCTGCAAATAAAAACACCGCTGCCCCATAGACATAAAGAACCTTTAGTTTGTTGAACTTTCAAAACATGGACCTTGTTCTCCATTCATGGAAAATGCACGTACATTGTATGTATTTCGTTCCTCAAATTTGGTGGCGTTTTGAAGGGTGGTATTTTTTATATTCTCAAAAAGAAAAACCTTGAAGAGTCTACTATAGCAGAAAAGCAATCCCAGCACAAGCACAGCTAAGGCTGAAAAAAAAAATAATTTCTGCTTCCGATTACATGGCATTTGAAAATAGGGTAGGTACAATGTGGGTGGGGAAATTTTTTTTTTGGGGGGGGGGGATTTTTTTGTGTACGATCATATGGAAGTGTTTGCATGTAGTCAAGGGTAAAAGGTAGTCATTGATGATTTTCTGGGTTTTTCCTCATTTTCCGCCCAAACTATTAGGGTAGGGGCTGTCAAAATAGGATACGTAGGGTAACCGGAAGCAGAACTATTTTTTTTTAGCCTAAAGACCAACATATCGACGGTGGATGATTGATGGTCCCCACTCCTCATACTCCCTTCTAGGAACCCAAGGCGTGGTGGATAGTAAGGCAAGAAGAGACCCACCAATCCATACTCCATCCATCTTATAATTTCGTAGAGAATCTGTCTTGACAGTCACATTAAGTTCCTCACCAATGCGGTCAGGTAAACCTGGCAGCAAAGCAGTACCCCCAGACAAGTACACATTGGTCTGCAAGTCTGTACGTATATCCACATCACATTTCATGATGCTGTCATGGATGGCCTGAAGGATTCCTTCCGTCTGCAATCCAGCGAGGGAGGGATTGAACAGGACCTCAGGGCCTCGGAACATCTCGCTGCCGATGCTGATCACTTGACCATCAGGGAGAGTGTAGTTCTTCTCCTGTGTCCAGCTGTTCTGGGCATTGTGTAATTCTTGCTCGTAGTCTTGGGCCACGTAACAGAATTTCTCTTTGATGTCACGGACAATCTCTCGCTCAGCTGTGAATGGAGGGAAAAAATGGCAAAACTGGAATATGTCATTCACACATGTTCCGCAATTTGGTGCACCTCCATTTATGAAATCTTTAATTTCTGGATTGAGTGGAAAGTGGAAGAAGAGCCAAATGTAAGAGGGAAATTTCAAATTACGTTATGTGCCGCACGTATCTCAGGCGGTACTCCTTATTTTTCATTAACTCGGTCACAATGAATGCACAAAAGGCTTACAAATCCAAGTGATACTGCCCTCTAACTCCGCCTTGACAAAAACCCACCTGTGGTGGAAAAAGAATATCCACGCTCTCTGAGTAACTCCATGAGGTATTCCGTGAGGTCCCTCCCAGCAACACCAAGTCTTTGGACTGCATGAGGCAGTGTTTGGCCTTCATAGCATGGCATGATGTCGGTCACGCCATCACCACACTGTAGCACTAAACCGGTATTCGCACCGTGGGTACAGAGCGCCAGTACTGCCTGAGTTACGACATTCATTGCTCTCACGTTGAAGGATTCAAACATTACCTGTGCAAAACAAGCAGAACATACTCCACCAGCAAAATAATATTAATAATTTACATAAATTAACGCACATATCAACCAGTAAGTTATCAGGGCTCGGTACAATATTTTTACCCTGCTCATTTGGCGCCTAAAAAAAACATTCCAAAGACCATCTCAGCTCCCTGGAGAGTATACAGCTCATTGCTGCCATATCTGCGCAATCTGCTAAATCAAAAACAGAACATGACCATATCTACCCTCACAGGTACTACTTTACTCCTTGGTGGGAGAAGCAATGAGTAATAACGTGTCGTGTCCAAGGACACACGCACCACAACACCAGGCTGGACTCGAAACCAACAACCTCTAGATTTACCCACAAGATCAATACAACGCCCCACCTTAATGATAAGGTAACACCACAGTTGTGTGTGGATGTGCATAGGTTTTTGTTTTCAAATATTCAAAGCGGCAAAAAACTATTCGAATATTCTCTTGATGATCGAATATTTAAATATTCGGTATATTCGAGACAGCCCTACTCCCCTAATTCTCCCTTTGCAACTGGTGAGAGGGTATGCGTAGTAGTCTTTCAATAATATTCACAGCCAGAAAAGAAGTTAGACCTTTTTACCTGAGTCATCTTTTCCTTGTTGGCTTTGGGGCCGAGGCAAGGCTCAGACAGTAACACGTCGTAATCTTCTGGAGCCACACAGAGTTCATTAGCGTAGGTGTGGTGCCAGATCTTCTCCATGTCATCCCAGTCGGTGATGATGCCCCGTTCGATGGGATACCTCAGGCTAAGGATTTCTCGTTTCTTCTGAGCCTGATCGCCGATGAAGCAATCGGTATCCTGCTGCTTGGCATCTTCTGTCTGAGACTTCACAAACAGTGGGGGGAAAAATAAAGGGAATCAAACCAAAAGTTACAACATGCAGTTTGAGCTCTTGTTGCTTTGAACAGACTTTGTGTCCATATATGTTACCTCTACTTTGGGAATGAGATGTCGTAATGTCAATTTTTTTTTGATAGCCACCGTGTAACTATCAACAGTTAGTCACACCTCCAGCACTTAAAACTAATAAAATAGTCTTAAGATTGGTTTGTAACGGGACATTCCATCATGGCTACATTTCTTGTTGAGTTCACCATAGATTGAAGAGTGCCTATTCTCTCTCTTGTGCACGACTTCGGCCATGTTGGCCATGCTTCCGTCTTGCCGTTGTAAATATACTAATCAAGATGTAATTGAGAGTCGGAGATGAAGAATTAATCCCTTTCCCCTTCCATCCGAACCTGGTAATGGTCTTCGGACTGTTACAGGTTTTCCCATGGAAGTGACAAAATGAAAGAAAAGACGGTTAATTAAAGAGAAATACAAAGCAGCAGAACTAGAAATATAAAAAATGCTTCTTGCGTTTAATAGCATATTATATCTCACTAAAATGACAGGCGGCTCTTTACGATAAGATGGACACCAGAGGGCGCTGTTGGGTTGGGGTAAATACACAAGAGTTTTAATACCCAAACCAAATAGCACTCTCCTATCATG